GAGGCAGTGGTGATGGCGTGTTGGAGGCAGTGGTGATGGAGTGTTAGAGGCAGTGACGATAATGAATTGGAGATAAATGTTTGTGAAAACAAAAAATGCTGGAGATCACAGCGGTTCAGACAGCATCTATGGAGAGAGAGCAAGCACTAACATTTCGAATCTAGATGACTCTTGATCACAGGTTGTGATGTGTTTTAAAGAGGGATCAGGCTTGTACTCAGTTTACAGTATTCTCTTCCATTTTCAGGTTAGAGAAATAATAGTTGACTTTGTACATTGTTCAGAAATGGATAACATTTCATTACTTGCAATGGAATAGTAATTATTCTGTTACTCTTATTGATTCAACCATCAGAAAACATTCTGAGTGAGAATGACAATATCTATAAAAGATCATTTATGAGTGAGAACAGGTAGACAGTGAACCTAAAGTTTTGGGACCCTGCTTGACTCTAAAAATGTAGTGGAATACGATCCTAGATATTGACACAAATCCTGTCCCATTATTCTCACGGAAGCAGGCTCTTAAATTGTATGTGTAATTCAGAGAAATACACCCATTCTCTTCATGTATATTGAAATAGTTAGGAAGGCTCTGAAAGCCAAGAAAGACTGAAGAGAAATGCACGTTAAATTTTCTCTTGCACTTAATGGAATAGACAGGCATTCTTCTATGATGATTAATTCTCCTGGAATCTTTACGAGGTGCTCAATAAAACCTACTCAGAAATATGACTTTCCACTCCCTGAGGGCGTGAGAATAATGGCAAGTGGGATGACTTAATCAGGCGAGAATCCAAATCAGATTCTTCCCGCTGAGATGAACTTTTACAACTAAGTCCTCCCTCCTTCAAATGGTGAGATGTCTTTTTCACACTTACTTGGTCAGAAGGTTATCTGCATGCATTTGCATCTCAATGATTGCACAACTTGCCAGAATTAACTTCCCGTCCCCCATTAACTCCTGCTCAATCAAGATACTCAATACTTCAGGAACTTGACCGCATAGATTGTGTATTTATCGACTTCAGTTTTCTGATTCCAGTCTCAGTTAGCACATAGCCCTGTTTGCTTCCAGATAAACCTTATCAATGCTCCTTGTCTTCAGTTTTGCTGTAACCTGTACAGATGCGGGAGGTGTGTGCATGGGGACTAAGATAGGATGTGGCCCTAGTCCATTGTGGATTATAACTGATCACCGGAAACACATCAGTTTCTGCTCCACAGTGTCAGACAGCGGCTGTTGGTTCACAGGTGACACTTGGTCAAGGCAGAAGGCAAGCGGATGGCTTGTGACAGACATGGACACTCTCTGTATCATAAACAAGGCACTGGCTGTAGGAAACAGTGAAATATCAAAGTCAAAGGCTCAAGGGCATTGTGGGGTCAACATCAGAGTTGGTGCATGGAGAAGCTGAGGATGAACTCAATCAGTCAGAGGATACTTCTAAAGTCTTTGGACTGTGCCATTTATAATCTAAAGGATTGACCATGATCAGCCATGGAAGTCAAGTTAATCATGACCCAGCTCATACAATCAGCCTGGAAGATGGGCTATGGTCAGTGAGGGATATTCTGCAAAATCTGTCTGGGCAATGGGATATGGTCAGTCACATGGGTGACTCAGACATAATCCAGAAAGAAGCCTCCGTATGGTCATCAAGGTTACAGACAGCTCAAGTTTGACTACTAGCCTGGTTATATACAACAGCTGAGGGAATGGTTACAGTGATGGAGGGAATTGAATGTAGTAGGGTGGGATTTGGTGAGTTAGGAGAGGGGATGAATGGTCTTAACTTGGTTCAAGGCAAGTCAATGTCACTCTGGCTTCAATATGGTAAGGGACCCAAGGCTGTAACGAGGTCAGGAACTGAGTGGCCCTAGCGGAAACCAAACTGAGTGTCACTGAGCAGGTCATTCCTTTGCAAGTGCTACTTAATAACAATGTTGATGGCACCTTCCATTATTTACTGGTCATTGACTCACAAAGTAGTCACTGGCTGTGTTGGATTTGTCCTGCTTTTTGTAGACAGGGCATAACTGTGATATTTTCACATTGTCCGGTAGGTGCCAGTGTTGTAGCTGTACTGGAATAATGTGAATAATTTTGGAGGGTACATTTTGCCTCTTTTGCCAAAATGTTGTCAGGGCTTTTTCAGTATCCAGTGCCAATAGCAGCTCTTTCATATTATGACGAGTAAATCAAATTGGTTGAAGACCAAAATCTGTGATGCTGGGAACCTCAGGAAGAGGCTGAGAAGGGATTATGTCCTTAATATTTCTGGGTGAAGATGGCTGCAGATGCTTCAGCTTTGTCTCTTGTACTGGGCTCCTCTATACTTGAGCTGTTTAATTGCCCAGTAGCACCATTCATGACTGGTGATATTCGGCCTGCAGAGCTGAGACTGATCCTTTGGTTGGAGATTTCTCTCTATTACATACTGCTTCAATTCTTTGACATACAAGTAGTCCTACGTTGTGTGATAAATGTTTATAACATATTAGTTCATTTGAGAGTTTTGATTTAGAGTTAAAATGGACTTTCATCTTTTGTTCTGAAGAGGAGACTGTATTTTTAGAAGGTCAGAAAGTTATTTTTTGATCAGGAAGCTCAAAACAGCTCTTTTCATGTAAGCTTGTGATTTAAGTTAAATGACGAGCAAGCTTCTTGGGGAGATAATTGCTTTTTTATCCCTTTGTTGGAACTTATAGCACGTATAGAAAAGAGAAATGAGTTTTGCTATTCTGGCAACAGGGCAGATTTTAGTCGGGGAGGTCTTCAGGCCAAGTCTTAAGTTGTTTTATATGGACATATATTAAGTCGTTAATATGGACAGAGCTGTAAAAAAAGTCTGAACTTTTCACGAAAGTTCAGTGAGGAAAAGTTATTGAGTTATCCTGTCTGCCTGTGGCAGAAGAGGTGATAATCAGATCTGGGGAATGTGCAAATGACATGAAATGGGAACACTTGAAATCTCTTCAGTTGAGTAAGAAATTTTAAAGTGAAGATTGGAGTGATATTTCACTGGATTGTGTGTCTGTAAAAGATAATGCCGAGATAAATGCCTGAATCTTTCATTTTTGCTGTTTTGATAAGGCCTTTCAAGGTTGACATATATAAAGATTTGCTTTTGTTTATTTTGTGTAGTCAATGTATATTACTCTCTTACAAATACATTGGCATTTTCATGTGAATATGTTCAGTGACTGACCACCACTGTAACTAATTTGTAATAATAAAAATTAAGGCTAATTAGGAACATATCATTCCGGAATCTGTCTTGTCCTTTAACCATGATCATAAAGGTTTCAAAAAAAAACGAAATTTCTGAAAACACTCAGTAGGTCTGGCAGCATCTGTGGAGAAACAGAATTGACGTTTTAAGTCCAGAATGACTCTTTGGAACAGCAATAGCGTCACCAGGTTGACACCTTATCTTTGGGAATATTTGCTGCTGCTCCTGGCATGCCCTCCTGCACTTTTCACTGTATAAGGGTTGATGACCCAGTTTATTGTTGATGGTAGCCTTGGGGATATGCCAGACCTTGGGACCACAGATGATCATTGAAAACAAAAACAAAGTTGCTGGAAAAGCTCAGCAGATCTGGCAGCATTTGCGAAGGAAAAATCACAGTTAACGTTTCGGGTGCAGTGACCCTTCCTCAGAACCCAAAACGTTATCTGTGAAGGAAAAAACAGAGTTAACATTTTGGGTTCTGAGGAAGGGTCACTGCACCCGAAACGTTAACTGTGATTTTTCCTTCACAAACGCTGCCAGATCTGCTGAGCTTTTCCAGGAACTTTGTTTTCGTTCCTGATTTACAGCATCCGCAGTTATTTCAGTTTTTATCATTGAAAACAATTGTGCTGCTGCTGATGGTCCACTGCATGTCATGGATGCCCAGGTTTGAGTTGCTAGATTTGCATGAAATCTGTTCCATTTACTAGGTGGTAGTATCTTATAACACAATCAAGATAACCTCAATGTGAAGATGGGACTTCACCTCCACAAGGATTGCCTTACAGATTCTGTCAAGGACTAACCACTTCTGTGCCAGGTAGATTGGTAAGGATGAGGTCAAGTGTTGTTGGTTTCCTCACCACATGCTGAAGATGCAGTCTAACAGCTATATCTTTTAAACCCAATCAGCCTGGTCAGTAAAGATTATAACGAGCCACTCGTTAAGTTGGACATTGAAGTTCCCCACCCAGATTCTGTGCCTTTGCCAACCTTAGTGTTTTTTCCAAGCGGTGTAGTCTGATCAGCCAACAAGGGTGTGGGGAGGAGGTGTTATTCAGTAGATTTCCTTGTTTATGCTTGACCTGATGACATGAGATTTCATAGAGTCTGGAATTAATCTTGACAATACCAGGGAAGCACCCTCCTAACTGTGTATCAATGTGCCACGACCTCTGCTGGGTCTGCCTTGCTGGTCAGACAAGACATACCCAGGGATGGCGTTGATGTTTTCTAAGACGTTGTCTGTAAGGTATGATGCCATGAGTATGACTGTGTCAGGCTGTTGCTTGACTACTCTGTGGGATAGCTCTCCCAATTCTGGCATTAGCCAACAGATGTTAGTAAGGAGGACTTTGCAGGATTGACAGGGCACTATATGACTTTGTCATTTCTGAATCCTTGTTTGATGCCAGTTAGCTTGTCCAGTTTCATTCCTTTCTTGAGATTTTGTAACAGGTTTTTATACAACTGAGGAGCTAGTTAGAGTCTTCCGCATTTCCGTGATGTGGCATCAAATGTAGGCCATGCCAGGTAAAAAAAAAAGAGATTTCCTTCCTTTGAAGGAAGTTAGCGAACCAAATGAGTTCTCGCAATAACCAACAACTTCTTTCCAAAATTACTAAACTGCTATCTTTCCTACTGCACTCACATTGTACCAAGGCTCATGGTTGACCACTCTCACTACGAATGGAGGGATTTTCTTATGAGGAGAAGTTGAATTAGTTGGCTATGTACTCATGGAGTTTAGAAGAAGGAGAGGTGATTTTATTGAAACAAAACATAAGCACTAACATATGTGATTGATGGCACATAGTAGGGACAACACTTAGGCAGATTATATCCTCAACTGGATTACACCGACTCAAGAGAATTCTGCAAATGGTAGAATAGGGCACAGCATGGGGATTGAACCTATCAGAAAGAAGGAAAAGGGGTTAAGATATTGATCTGACTGGAAATAACACCTAACATCTAAATGACAGCAGAAAGGTTTCCTTTCAATATGAGGACCAGGGTAAAGTATCGGATCCCTGCACAGCTCTCATTAAAACAGCCTCCAATAACTGGCTCACCTGAAAGCACAGCCCTGTTAGCTGAAGAAAAGCAGGTTTCCTGGTTGGCAGAGAGCTAAGTGTAACTGGCTGTTTCCTCCATCCTGGCTAATACCTCAGCGATTGGATTTTCCTCCCACGTTGTAAAGGATTGGGCGATTACACTGGTGTTCCTTTTATCGCACATGTGACTCATGGGCAAGGGATACGATGTCAGAATTTAGGAGCCTGTAGAGTGGCTTCGACTATTCCTTAGAACTAAAGAGGAACTGGTCTCAGCCCAGGGAATGAGACCAGTTCAATTATAGTCTGTTTGACTTCTAGAGCCAAGAAAAAGATACTAGTTCAATCAGAGACAAAATGAGCTTCTTGGCTTGCCTTGGTCATTAAAGAGGCATGAATTCATCAGGATTGTGATACTGTAATGGCAGATGGTTAGATATCCTGGTGGTCCCAGACTGCTGAGCAATTCTGTCACCTCTGTTTGCTCAAATGATTAGGTTTTGTGGTAATACGGTGTGGTGTTCGGTCTACCATTCTGACATGTGTTGTCAATACCCTGGTGTGTTTGTGCTGATAAACATTGGTCTTCTACTGCAGTAAATCACAACAGGCTACTTGACATCATTCCTTGGACAGACAACTGGATGACTTCCCCTGCAGATGTTATAATCAATAACTAATGTATATCTCAGAGTTACTCTCGGCTTAAGAAGGTAATAACTTAAGAAGATTGGACTTAGATGTGGAAGTAGACAATTTAGCCTCTTGACTGGCGGTATGGTGGCTCAGTGGTTAGCACTGCTGCCTCACACTGTGGTTTCCTCCCACTGTCCAAAGATATGTGGGTTAGGTAGATTGGCCATAGGGTAGAGAGGTGGATCTGAGTGGAATGCTCTTTGGAGGATTGGTGTGGACTCAATGGGCTGAATGGCCTGCTTCAATGCTGTAGGGATTCTATGATCTATACAAGCTTTTTATTGGGCTTGACAAGGTAGACTCTGAGGTTATTTTCCCTTGTGGGAGAGGCAGGTCTAGAGGG